TTATTATTATTATTATTATATATCTTACGTATCTATGTATTTTTATAAAATATTCAAATATTCATATTTTTGCAGGTGTATTATTACGCAACGATATGGATCGATCTGAACGATCTGAACGTGAGCGCAATGTTGCATGCTTTAAATATATTCGATTCCCGTCCTCCAAAATACACGAGCAGTGTTATCATAGAAAAGAATGAGGAAGATCAATCTTTTTTCTGCACACGATCTGAACGTGAGCGCAATGTTGCATGCTTTAAATATATTCGATTCCCGTCCTCCAAAATACACGAGCAGTGTTATCATAGAATTGCATGAAAAGAATGGCGTTTTTTTTGTCAAAGTAAGTGTCTAATTTCATCTGCTAGTAACACACGTGTGATAATACGAATAATACTTGTCACTAACGCATAACAATTAATACTTACAGGTGCTATATTATTTAGGCATTCCACCAAAAATAATAGAAAAAAGCATCCCCGGTTGCGCGATATTATGCCCATACGATAAATTCGTTCAATTAACATCAGCATCAACTGCGACGGATGAAGAATTGGAGTGTCCAGAAAAAGTGACCGTTAGTTTTGATTTCTGACGATTAAAAAAAAATTAATTTTCACGAATTTAAAATAGAAGTTAAAGTTAACCGATTCAGATAAATGGAAAACTGCGAATATATATTTTAACTTCTCATTATTAACGATTCAATCTTATTTGGACCGAATGGTTTATAAAAAAGATAAAATTACAATTTTTTTATAATCTCTTACGCGACGCATAAGAAGTATTACGAGAATGCCGTCCCTGTCGGGTGAGACAGCGGATTTTTATTACACTTTCCACGTTATTATCCGGTATCGCGTACCGTTGAAAACTAGATGCCCATACGATCGCGGAAAGTTAAGTTCGTTAAGTATGCCCAGAGCCGTGTCTTATCGAAGACACGAAGCTCAGATCCTCCGCCTACCGTGCCGTAGCATAACAATTACCCTATTATTTCGCACACTCTCTCGGGGCAATTCGCCGTTGGGCCTATACACCGCGTATTTCCGTTTCGCGATACACTCTCAACTTCCATTAAGGTTAAATCTTTTCGACCGTCGCGTAAGCAGATATCAACGCTAAAGTTTAATTTGTCCGTCTATGTTATTATCACTTACGTCGGTACAGAGAGAGAGAAAGAAGAACATTTGTTATTGCATGTGAATCAATTTTTTACAAAATATGTTTAATGTAGTATAACGTATATTTATTACTAAGAAGCATTTTCTCAAAAAGCTATTATTAACATTTGTAATCTCTTTTTACGACTTGCTTTAACAAAACTCACGAGAGCGTGAAATATTGTCTCGAAGCGATCCCGGCCTCGAGATAATTAATACGACCGATGTTGTACGTTGAATCTGCCAGGCCGCGCCTCGCCTCGTCAGGACTGACCAAATTACTCTCAAAATTGGCTTCGCGTGACGCGCCGCATTACGACATTCTGATATAACCCCGTTTGCACCTAACTACATTAAATTCCAAAACAAAATGCGCGAACGAAATTTGCATTTCCCCTCTGGCGCACACATTGGCGCGCGACGCCGTTGGGAGCAACTCCCGGATAAAACGTGTATGACGCGCGCGGCGCGGAAGCGCGGTGCGGTCCAGCAGCGCGGTTCTGCGCGGCATTAAAATTACATTATTTCGCCAGCTTCGAACGTACGCGAAGTATGCACCACGTTGATTATGAGTTTTAATGAATTTCTACGGGATCATTATAAAGCCGCTCTCGGGGCTGTGCGGTCGCACACGTGACCGTTCTCGCTCGCACACGACTGACGGTGCGTCCGCGTGTTTGTGAAACACAGCACGGCGCCCCGTGTGTCACGATGATCCGGCTCGCTCTATCTCTCTCTTACGCGCGCGCGCCCACCATTATTGCCTCGTATACACGCGCGACCGTATTATATTCCCGGGGCTTTTTCACAGATAGAGTTGTACAGGTTAGAGAACTGACAAATGGAGCCGACACGTGTCACGATGCTAATGCGCGGTGAAAAATTATTTCGCAATATCGAACGATGCGACACACCCTTTTGGGTCTCGCCTCGCCTCGCCTCGCCTCGCCTCGCCTCGTCGATGTTTCTTTTTCCTCCTCCATGGTGGAGGATTAATTAATGAGACTGGACAAGCCAGGCATTATTACCTGCTTTACAGCGCGCGGCGCACTGGCGTGGGAATGTCTCTTCTTTGCTCGATTACTTTAAGAAGCGGCGAAATTTGCCGAGCAAACTTCGGCCATTAATTTTCATTCTCGATCGAGGCCATAATAGTTGACGTAATAGGACTTTGGACGTCTAATATGATCCAATGAGCTATCGATCGCGTTTTTATTTCGTCTTCCGCGATGAGAAATTCAATACGTAGACGGAAGGTTGCTTGCCGATGCAAACGTCGTGCACTTTGCAGCGCGACGCGCCAGGAATGCATTTTACATCGGCGCAAGGACGGCTACCTTGGACATGAGTTTGTACTCTGTAATGATTTCTCGTCGTTCGTCGCGTCCTTTGTTTAGCCGAGTATGGCGCGGAGCAAGCAACGCCGAGGGCGCGATAATCAAATAACATCGCCCTTGTGCCCGACGCCATTGGCCCACATCCCACCGCATACAGGACGTGATACACGTGTACTCGCAGCGTGTAACGCGTGCTCGAATATAGTGGTCTCTCAGTGTGCATCGCCGGTGTGCATTTGCCATGCACTCGCAGAGAGCCGCGTACCACGCGTAATGCACATTTGTAAAGCTAGACGCGTAACCGCGACTAGACATTTTTCACCGCGCCGAGTAACTTCTTTAATTGAAACCTTTTGTAGAGGAACAAAGTGTATCCTCTCTCTCTCGGTAACCGTACAAAAAAAAAAAAAAAAAAAAGAAAGAAATTATACAATTTATTATGTAATATTATAAAATAAAGTAATGAAGCAAAAGTATTCTTTACTGAGAATTTCTTTCCAACAGTATATTATCTGTTATGCGTTCAACCTTTGATTGTTAGAGAACTAATTAATTTTTAATAAATAAGTCTTTATTTTTATTTATAAATTAAGAAAATTTTGCTTTTGTATAATTAAAAAAAAAAATCCCAATGATTTTTGTAAAATAAAAATGTTACCGGAAACAATGTTATAGCATATAACATGGTCTCTCAATTTTAAAAATCATCGCAAAACTCGTCGCTAAAAGAACAAGAGGTTTCAGCTATTGCAAAGAAAGTTCGTCTTTCTTTTTCCCTTTTCTTTCGTGCCGGACCATCCTTTTCTGTTACCCCTTTTTCTCTTCTGTAATCCTTCTCTCCCTCCATCGGGATAAACTCTTGAAATTTCCGAGAGTTGCCCGGATGAGAAGAACCAGTTCCGCACTCCTAATTCTGCGGAATTAAACTCGTGAAATCGTTCTAATTGCGGATACAAGAGCATCGGGGTACTTGCATTGAATCGAGTTGTATCGTACTTTTACGATGCGATACTGCGATTGAATTAATCATCGCTCAATTTCCGATACACGGCTGTTAAATCATGCTATATCTCAAACGTCGACTGTGTTAATTTATAACTAATGAAAATATATGTCAATTTACCATACGCAAGATACGAACATTTTTCAAAAAGATTCCATAGTCAATTTTCTGATATTTTTATATAATCCATAAATTAAAGCTTGAAATTTCAAATTAAGGTCCGAAACTTAAATCCGCAAAAGTTAAAGTAAAGTCTGATTAAATGAGAAATAAAGTCTTATTCATTATTTGCACTCCTTTGAAGTTTAGTTCTCATAAAATCATCCATTTTTGATAACTTAAAATCCTCATCATTTTTATTCTGTCAAAGTAGAAGTCGACTCTGAATTTAGCTGAAAATCCATAGATGAAAACATAATTCGCTAGCTCCAAGATATCTTGTATAAAATTTCGCAAAGTATGTAGTAAGTAGTTTAAAATTTAAAGTTTGAAAGCAATACAGTAAAGAAGATACGCGCTTTCGATAAGTCTCGATTACAAGGATTCCGCTACTTAATATGCAATTATCTACTGAAATTAGCTGACAAAGGATCAGTCCTTCATTATAACCACAATTTTTACACTTTTTCCTTTCTTCCTCCTCTTTTTCTAAAATAAAGTTATATAAGTAACGATAAATTTATTTTTGAATGCAAAGAATGAAAAAATTACATATCTGGAGCATTCCTCAAGCTCCCTTCAAGATCACTGCGTGATGCGACGGCCGAGGAATGCAAAATTTGGCGAAAAAAATTGATCGTGCGAAAGTTAGTTTGAAAATGCACGATTTAATTGAACATTCGTAATAATTTGTCTGCGCGAATGGGTGCAAACTCTGCGGTTGCGTTCGCGTGCGATTCGTCGGTGGCAAGGAATTAGCACGAGCTGTCGAGTAGACAATACGGAATTAATTATAATTAACTGCCATTCACAAAAGTTTCCGCGAACAATTTTGTGGTCGCACTATACCCGGTTATAATGAACTCTCTCCTACCTAGCAGCTCCTATCATTTACATACTCTTACATTCAAACTGGGTTTTCGTTTGGCTGCTGCGCGCGCTAGTTCGCGACAACCTCAAGAAACTTCTTTAAATTATGCCCTTTGGAATATACCTTTGGTATGACGTAGAATATGGCATTTGTTGAGAACTTTCCACCAAGTTGAAGAAATATTGTTACAACACCGTAAAAATGTAGACGACTGATTCTTATCGCCAAATAACGAAGATTAAATTTTTAGAAAAGAAAAAAATCCCGAAGAATTGAAGAATTAGAATATAGAAAGTTTTTATTACATAATTCTATAATTTTTAACCGCGCGCGCACGTGTATATATATGTGTGTGTAAGAGATTAGTTAATATTTAACATATCTATAGGGATTCTAATATATCTCGAAACCTCACATATGCCAATTAATTTCGTTATAAACTTACAAAAAATTCTCAATCAATTCTCTTTTGTGTGTGTGTATGAGAGAGAGTCCTTTCTCTAAATTTTTATAAATAAAATAGTTATATTTTAAAAAGTTTTTTCAATAAATCATAAGAAAATTCTTTTGATTAACAGTTTTTTATATACTATATTCATGATTCAATATGCCATTACGTGATAATAATTGAAAGTCGAAAGAGATTTAGAAATAATTATATTAATAATATGATATATTTATCATGCTGTTATTAGCCAATCTGAGTATTAGCAACGCTGGATTAATTATGATTAATCCGTTATTAATTTTTAATTTTATTAATATATTATTTTTTATATATTATTAATTTTAACAATTAATACTTTTTACCGCTCGCGTATCGTCATTTTCATCGCAGGTTTTTCTCATTTCAAGAACTAAGCCAGCCATGTGGTCCTCGTATTTACGACTTTGTACTATATATAATGATGTTTTCCATACGACCCGACCATGTTAATCAATTTTGCACAAAAACTCATTAAATCATGATGATGTCAGTTATCATTAATAATAGGAAATAATCAAAATAGGAAATAAATAATATCCGCGTTCGTACATGTAAAAAACATCAAAAAGTTCAAA